GGAAGAAAAAGGGAGGCTGTCAGCACCCAGACTGGCTTCCCAGGATCAAGAGAAGGCAGTGAAGTTTGCAGTAACGTCTTCAGAGACAGTAAGAAACAAATACACTAACCATAGTGGAGGTTTAAAGCTCGAATGTGTTGAATCTGAGCTGTGACTGACTCTGCACACTGCATAGAGCTTTTTGTTCACTTCTGTTGAATAAATTCTCAGCTAACTACCGCAAAGCAGGAAAGCCCATAGTAATTGCATCCTCTCTCTCTTCTGACTTGATTTAAGAAGAATAAATCAATAAAATATAAGCCACGCTTCCCATTCACTCCATTATCAATCTTGGAGGAAATGGACCAACTAAGAGTCACCTTGCTTCTCCTGGACAGGAGCTAGTGATTACAATGAGGGAAATAATCAAAGCCGGTTGAGGTGTTGGGGTGCAATAGTAGTCTTTCTTTAGATGTATTAAATCTGATTTAGCATGATGACTTTCCCTATAAGAAAAAAAAGAGTTTGCAAATTACTAACAACCATAACTCAGACAAGAGGCATCATTCTCACCGTACCAGTCATTAATTATATCCATCCTCAGGAAGAGTATGAGGGATCTTGAAAATAGCCTACCCTTGACCAGGTGTCACAGAACTAGAGAATTAATTATTTATGCAACTTCTTTCATTCCATTGATTTAGGTACAACACTAAGGAAATAACATTTTAAAAGAGAAGGTTATGCTTAGTAATGTTTAATCCAGTCAAAGCATGAAGATGAGGCAGGAGATTTGTAGCAAGCTGTCTCTAGGTTAACCATTAGTCCAAATGCCTTTAGGCAAGCCAGTAATAATAGTAAGGGTCTGATAAATACATATAAAAAAACGTCCCATATACCCCAGAAAGAAAGATTTCAATCACAATGGTAACAAAACATTATAAGTCTAGGAATAAATTTAATTAGTTTAAGCAGTGCTTTACCGAGAATTAAAGACATTTATAATTAGCAATAAATAGTATGTTCTTAATCAAATTATCAAATATACATGTTAAGGAGTTTTGTTCTCCACAAATCAATTTATAATTTAATTCAATTACAAAGTTTAAATCAAAATATGAATAAGTAGCAGAATTCACCTTTTCTTATTTCTTTCACAAACATCTACTGATAATCAACTATGTGAAAAAGTTTGTGCTAGGTACTACAGATAAAGCAGCAAATAAGACACACAACTCTGTCTTCTAAATTCTATGCAAGAGTAAATGTAAACCGATACTTACAGAATTTCGTAAAGAGAATAGATTTGTGAATTTTATATAAAGCTCACATTCTCAGATCACTTCCTATCCTAATTTAACTCAAAGACACACAAAAAAATGCCATCAGTGGACACTAAAGGAAGACCTATGTCACATTTTCTCAATAAGAAAGTGGTACATAAAAAGCACATAAAACAGGCTGAGAAATTTTACCACAAATTTGCAGGGAGAAAATTACTATAAAGCTGTAATTTATTACTATCTCTTGCAGGACAATTAAAAACGCAGATGTTTAAGGAGAAGACTTGATGAATGGGGAATGCTCAATTCAAGATATAATGGTAAGTGAAAAAATCATGAGCCTATTTATAATAAGAATTTATGAAAAAGAGTAAACTGAATATTAGCAATATTATGTGATTACAGAATTGTCAATATCATATTATTGAATATCACACATCTCCTATAACTGGCATGTAATGTTGTATAATCAGAAAAATAATAAATGCTGTTTTCAAAACACAGTATTTTAAAATCTATTCACAATAAGGATTGTGATATTGATACCAGGGAGTTATTTATAGAAGAAGAGTCTGAATAGCAATGTAACATCAATCTTACAATTTTGAAATAAAATATTACTAACTCCCTTCAAGAATTCAGTAAGCAACAGTTATCCACAAAAATGTATAACACTTTCTGGGTCATCTTGAACCTAATCTTCTTAATCTATGCATTTCATGTCTAATACATTAGTTTCCACTTGCAGACAAACAATATGACAAACGCTATACATGAAAGTCTGTGCCAAAGGAAGGAGGCTGCCCCAGTCGCAGCTCTGAGTACAGGTAGCAGGTGCCTGGGAAGCACTGTGTACTTGCTGCACAGAAGTAGACAGCTGAGTCTCCAGGCTGGGTGTCTGAGATGTGCAGGGAGAGACGTTTGGCCTTGTCATTCAATAAAACACTCCATCTTTGGTGTTCTTTTTTGCTCTTATTTGAACGAATGTCTGTAAGGAGCTGGGGACCTTTTCCAGGTTCTTTCTTATACCAAAGGAAGTAGTCTAAAGCAGTGTCTGTATAAGTACAGGTGATAACAGAGCTGTTTCCCTCCTGGACAGTCAGGGTAGAAGGACTCTGCTCCACCTTCTCTCCAAGGCTGACACCTATGTGGAAAGAAGAAGTCAGAGAAAGGAGAAGGGTTGCCAGATTACTAAGCTCCAGAATTTGCTTTTCCTTCTCTATAATAACTACAAGAAACCTGAATAAAGCCAGTCTTGGCTTCTAAAGGATATCCACTAATACCCTGTTTCCCTTAAACCCTCAACTCACAGTCCAGCTGCAGCCACAAGAACATGATTAAAGCCCCAGTGGGGGGCTTCCCTGGCGGCACACTGGTTGAGAGTCCGCCTGCCGATGCAGGGGACACGGGTTCGTGCCCCGGTCCTGGAAGATCCCACATGCCGCGGAGCGGCTGGGCCCGTGAGCCATGGCCCCTGAGCCTGCGCGTCCGGAGCCTTTGCTCCACAACGGGAGAGGCCCCAACAGTGAGAGGCCCGCATACCGCAAAAAAAAAAAAAAGAGCAATGGTAGCAGGCAAGGTTGCAGATCCCTGTCCAGACCCATATCCCAATTCCTCTTAATCCCAAAATAACTCACCCAAGATCAGGAGCACAGTCACTCTTGTCAAATGCCTCATATTCTAGTGTAAACCAGGACCCAGGGTCAGGCTCTGTTGCTGAGTCTGAGCCTGGACCAGGGATATGAACCAGGGACGAGGCACAGCAGCACCTGCCAGAACCCACACTAGCAGCTCTCACCTAGGGCTGTCCCCAGAAGCAAGCCAATAGCAGGGTGACAGCTCCTCAGAATGGGCTTCCCTTCAAGGTTCAACTGAGCACTCAGGAAGAATAGAGGGTAAAAACTTCCAGCACAACAGCATAGCAGTCTGCTTTCCTTTTAGATGTTTGCTTAGGTCTAACCCTTTAGAGATTTAGTCTGAATGAAACAAATATATCAGAGGGTAGATTCCATTGGGCTCCTTATTCCCCATCAATTTTCCACAGTCCCAGAAGGTGGTCATCTACTGTAGCCAGTCTCATACTCATGGAGCTCTGAGAATAACCCATCTGACCTAGAAGTTCATGCCCAGATATCCCCCATTGATTCCTATGTAAGATGAAATGGAATCTTAATCTTATTCCGTAAAAGAGCAAATGAGGCCATCTGAACTGGACCTTTCATCTCTTGACAGCCTGGTGTCCTTTTATGATCACACTAAGTCCACATCTTACATCTGCTGCTCAAATCTCACTTAACAGTTTTTAAATAGGGAAGCAGACCCCTCACTAGTCCCTACTGACCAGCTAGGACAGGACATTTGATGTGGAAGAGAGGAAGTGAGGAGAAGAAGAAAAGGCACAAGTTCAGAGTCAGACAGACCTAAATCCAAATCCCAGCTCTGCCACCTTGCGACCTTGGGCAACTCACTCCTCTGAGCCTCAGTTTCTTCATCTGTAAAATAGGGACAATAACACCTACTTCAGAGTCAGCCTATGGTATACGGTCAACAGTAAATTGTAATTCCTTCCCATTCTTTTCCTTCTTATCTACATGCAAAGAACTATGGCCAGTAGAAAGCAGTTGTGTAGGATTATATATTTGATTGTTTAAGTGTACATATAGATCATTCACTCTTCCTTCAAGAAATACCCAATATAAACTCAGTAACAATAACACAAAAATTAAAAATAAAAACAAAACATCCATTCAGGAAAGGAGCTAAATCCAAAAGATACTATAATGTTAGCTGAATCAGCCAATTGCAAAAATCCAAACATGTTAGATACTCACATTAATGTGGAAAAGATAGTGGTGTGTTGAGTTCTTTGCTCATATAATATGGGAAAGGAAAATCACTAGAAAATATTTAGGGAGTGCCTCTTCGAGGTCTAGAATTGCCCAATGTATTCTGAGTGAGCAATTTTTCCATTTTCCCATGGAAAAAGACCGATGAGTGCTAATGACTTGTAGTAACATTTTGATAGAGTGGATACAACAAAGTATGGAATAAATAACCAGCTTACCTTCAGTACTAGGTGGAGGAGAAAGAAGGATATATGAGGGAGCTAAATATGCGAGGATAACTTCTACAGAAATAAAACATAAAAGGGTTACAGTTTAGAATCAGCTCATTGCAACAGCGACCCCATGTGGTAAACAGACTTGGACAGAAGAAATGTTTCACAGAAGTCAATAGTTCCATGCAATTTATGGACTATCCATCATATTTTCTTTGTTAAATGCAGTAGCCAGTAGTTTGGCTTGTTCAGTTGGACCATGGGGTCTATTTTAGGCAATGGAAAAAAACCCTGAATGGGGATCTAGACAAACTAGTTGCAAACATTTTTCTGGACTTGATACTTGTGCAATTTTGTACGACTCACTTATCATCTGACAAGCACAGTTTCTTCATCTCTATAAGAGATATTATGGAGATTAGTTAAATGAACATAATAAAGTTCTTTCTAAACTATAGATTTCTATATAAATACAAACTATGTTTAACATAGGAAATATCACAAGACCAAAACATAATCTTACCTTTTCAGGACAACAAATGCAACTTGATGTTTCTGGTTTGCCATCTGTTAACTCACTTAGGAGTTTATTACTGGATATCAAGCAACGAGAGGAGGATACACTAGAAGCTTTCCTGTGTTGCAGCCTTTGGAATGAAAGTAATCATTAATGGTTGTGTTGTGTTATGCATTGAATTTTGTCCCACCTCCCCTGCCCCCTCCCCCAAAAAATGATATGTTGGAATCCTAATCCATAGGACCTCAGAATGTGACCTTATTTAAAGATAGGTCTTTACAGAAGTAATCAAGTTAAAATGAGGTTATTTTGGAGGACTCTAATCCAATATGACTGGTGTCCTTATAAAAAAGGGAAATTTGGGGCTTCCCTGGTGGCGCACTGGTTGAGAGTCCGCCTGCCAATGCAGGGGACACGGGTTCCTGCCCCGGTCCGGGAAGATCCCACATGACGCAGAGCGGCTGGGCCCGTGAGCCATGGCCGCTGAGCCTGCGCGTCCGGAGCCTGTGCTCCGCAACGGGAGAGGCCACAACAGTGAGAGGCCCGCGTACCGCAAAAAAAAGAAAAAAAAAACAAAAAAAAAAACAAAAACAGACTTCAGATGAAGTGCACATTGAGTAAAAATTCATGGTTAGGGACTTCCCTAGTGGCTCAGTGTTTGAGAGTCCGCCTGCCAATGCAGGGGACACAGGTTCGAGCCCTGGTCTGGGAAGATCCCACATGCCACGGAGCAGCTAAGCCCGTGCACCACAACTACTGAGCCTGTGCTTTAGAGCCCGCGAGCCACAACTACTGAGCCCACGTGCCACAACTACTGAAGCCTGTGCGCCTAGAGCCCATGCTCCGCAACAAGAGAAACCACCGCAATGAGAAGCCCGCGCAACGCAACAAGGAGTGGCCCCCACTCTCCGCAACTAGAGAAAGCCTGCGCGCAGCAATGAAGACCCAACGCAGCCAAAAGTAAATAAATAAATAAATTTATTAAAAGAAAAAATTGATGTTTAACCAAGCTGGAGGTATTATGATGATGGCAATGGGTTCATTTTAAGGGGAAGACAGGCTAAAGTTTTATACTAAAAAATGCCACAACGGCAGCAGACATTATTCAATAGATGTGAATGTAAAGGAAACAAATAAGTATAAATACAAAGAAGTTGTTTCTCTGATTTTCCTTATTTTTCCTTTAAATAATGTCCAAATAAACCACACATTTTGGAAAGAGGATAGAAAATCTCTTTGCTTTGAGTCCAAAATAATGTGGAAGGTAGCTATTTCTGAAAGCTTTGCTAAGGTTCTCATGCTTTAATAGTTAAAACCTTTACCCTATGATAATATCTTTCTTTGGCATATGTAAGTTATCTTTAAATACTAATCTTCAAGTCCCAGAGAGACCTGTGATGAATGGGAACATAGAATATATTTCTTCTCTCTCTTTCTAGAGCTTAAGTGTTACCGGCAATCATCTCCAGAGGATGACTGGGAAAAGCTCAATGAAAGGAATATTTTTAAATACATGGGTAGGATTAGGGGAAACCTACAAGAGAAGGTAAGGCACCCTGAGGCCAGCAACAGTCAGAAGACTTCACCACACCTAGACTTGAAGGGACAGAGGAGGAAGAAATTACCCTAGCCTGGGAGACCTGTAACTGAGGTAGATCAACAGGACCTGTGGATTTCAGCACAAAAAAGAAAAGATCTAAGAATATAAATATGCTGACCACTCTCTCCTGCCAATGCCTCCCACTGGGCCAAACCCAACCAGAAGCACAAAAGACAAGTACATAGAAGTCAGCCTCCTGGGCATAGAGCAGGATGGAGAGTAGACCTGGAGAGGACGACAAAGAACATCCAGCCCCCTGACACTGGGGTTTATGGCTGCCCTGTCAATCAGGCAAAATGTGGGTATATCCTAAATGTATGTATGGGCATATCTATACAGCATTTTGGTTGATGTAGAAAGACAAAAAAGTCAAATTAAAACAAGAGTCCAATGTAGACTTTAGTGCTGTAATTAAATTTTCCTGGTAATTGCCTAATCTCTACTACTTCTATCCTCTACAGATGTAGAACACACAGCACGCAGAACTATGCTTAGATAATGCAAATGACTTAGATTCTGTTTACGTTCAACCATTTAGTAATTAATTCCAAGAGCTACAAATGAATTAAACCTTTAAGAGACCGCACACCCAAAGGATTCCTAGGGCATCAGTTGAGCTTTCAGAATTGAACAAAATAGACTCAATAGCTATGCTGCTTGTGTGCTTTGATTTATGAGATTAATGAGATATTATTCATCAAATGCCTACTGTGAGCATAATGTTAAGCCCGTTACGTTTCTTGATTTTTTATTTCTCCTAATATTTTAGAGATGAGGACACTGGAGTTCAGGAATATTAGGTAATTTACTCAAGTCACCCCTAAAGAAATAGAACAAAGATTTTAACCCATACTTTTCCGACTTCGGAAGCATTCTTTCCACTAAATCACACTGAGAATTTCAATTTTGATCATTTACTTTTTTTTTTTTGGATCATTTACTTTTTAAAAAAACCTTATAATATTGGAAAGTAATTCCATTATCCTAATAAAATTATACAATCATAGACTTGAATGTGCCAAGTAGAACTTTAGAGGTCATCTTATTAATTGAGTGTATACCAAATGCTGACCTCACTTGTATGTGCCACATAACCAAAGCAGTCCCTAGATAATTGCTTCTAAGAGGTCCTCAGACATTTGAAGAACTGGCTGAGCTACTGACCCCAGGAAAACTTTACCGTCAATGCAGATATTACCAGCAGCAGACAGAGCAGACCGCTCCAGGGAGACCTTGGACAGCTTCATGCCAGCTGCACTGGACTCTTAAGTAACTCTCCAGCCCTGCTCTCCATGTTTAGTCTCAGGAGTCTTAGAACAGCTTTTTCAACCAGGAATTTTTTATTTTGTTTTGTTTTTAATGGGAAGTAAACCTCCAAAACAGAATATGGATATCTCTATATAGATGCAAACTCCCAGGATTTGGGAATACAGGGAACTTTACTCTCCCTGTAAATGTTTCACAAGTCACCATCGGACTGAAAGCTTCATGAGGCCTTTAAGAGTGAGCTATCACTGAGCTCTCTTCTTTGTAATTCCTCTCTCATCAACTGCATTTTCCCCTGCTTTTATTTCATTCTTCTTCCACTTCTCCTTTGGGTAATAATGTCTTTAGTATTCTACATATGAGCTGGAAAAAGTCTGGTAGGAAGACTAGCCATTGACAGTTTAAACAGAATCAAAACACCAATGTAAAAGGTAGGGTTTTCAATACATCACACACACACACACCTCAGTGAACTGAAAAGAACTTCCTCTATGAAGAAAAGGAATTTTCTGTCTCTTTTCTTGCTTGCCAAAACAATGAGGAGGCCACATGCTTATTCACTGTTTATAGAGCAACAACAATACTCACGGCACCATGCAGAACTCATGAAGAAAATGCACACATGCTTCGTCTTTTCAAATATTTCATTTGGTTAAAAGGTAAGACTAATATACACTGTTAAACAAGCAATAATCCAAAATAGAATATGCCTAAAGATGTTGTACAAACATATACCAATTTATATGTGTATACAGTGGAGACATTTGGATGTTACTAAAAGTAAAGAATAGTGGCTAAAGCCTCAAGATCTGGAGTCCAGAGTCTCGGTTTCCCACATCAAATCTGACTGAACAACAGAATCACCAGGGAGACATTTATGGAAAATTCAGACTTCAGGACCCCACTCCTGAAAACTCTGATTCAGTTAATCTAGAATGTAGGAAACAGTCTATTTTTTTGAACAAAACTCCAGAGACTTATGATTTTAAAAAGTTTGGGAATCACTAATCTATCCTAGGACCTTGGTTTCTAAAGTGGGAGGGACAGGTCTGGGTAAAAAGACAAAGTAACGAGGATATGGGAAGAATATATTACAACTTCCAGTTGTATTTTATTTTAGCTTAAAAATTTGAAGGGAGATTGAGTTTTACTAATATTTCATATATCAGTTGGCACTGACATCCTCACGGGGCCTATATATTAGATTATAATAAGTAAAATATCCTGAGGGAAGGACTGAGCTTCCAAACTCAGGGCTGTTGGCAGTAGCCACTCACTCATTCGTTCACTTTCAGCTTGCTATATTATCCAATGTTAACTAAAGTACCCTTTATAAAGTGGATACACGTCTTGAAAAGATTCCTGCAAAGAGAGTGAAGCTGGCAGAGAATATTTAAAATTCAAACACATAAATAAATAAATAAATAAATAAATAAATCTGAATAAATACTAACAAAAAAATAAAAATAAAATGCAAACACAGAAAGCAAGAAGAAAATGGCAGAGTGGACATGACTCTTCCACCTATCACAAGTTCATCATCAGCCGTTTTATGAGGGGAAGCAAAAATAATTCAATCAGATTTCAAAAGAAATGGATCAAAAGTGTTTCAGTTAACAAGAAAACTATTTAAGGGCTTCCCTGGTGGTGCAGTGGTTGAGAATCTGCCTGCCAGTGCAGGGGACACGGGTTCGATCCCTTGCCCGGGAAGATCCCACATGCTGCGGAGCAACTAAGGCCATGCGCCACAGCTACTGAGCGTGCGCTCTAGAGCCCGTGAGCCACAACTGCTGAGCCCGTGTGCCACAACTACTGAAGCCAGTGCGCCTAGAGCCCGTGCTCCACAACAAGGGAAACCACTGCAATGAGAAGCCCGCGAATGGCAACGAAGAGTAGCCCCCACTCGCCGCAACCAGAGAAAAGCCCACGCACAGCAACGAAGACCCAACGCAGCCAGAAACAATACATAAATAAAATAAAATAATAACATAAATTTATTTAAAAAAATGAAAACTATTTAAAACATGGATTTACAGACCATTAATGAAACACTCCTTAAAAACATATTTCCCTATGTGCCTTTACTAATATATAGTGTGTCTGGACTCAAATGTTTTTTCTGATAGTGCAAAATGGAAAAGCTTGGAGAACGTTGAATTGGGGGGGGTGGGGTGAAGAGTTATTGCTCATCTTTTTTCCACCTCCTGCAAAGGCTGTCATCTCTCCTTGTTTCTGTTCAGCTCTTCATGGATTCCCTGCCTCTGTGTCCTCCAGAGCACAGTAGTAAATGGCTGCATCTGCCATCTGCACCTGGAGGATAAGCAGTGATGAAGAGAACCGCTCATATGTCATGTTGTACCGTCCCTGCTGAGAAGGCCTTGAGCCCTGAACAAGGAGTCTTGGTGCACATCCTGGGAAGTGAAGGTACCAGAAGAAGTTGTAAGCACTGGATATAGAGTGATTACAGGAGATTTCTGCCAGAGCACCCTCTGAAGAGACCACAGTGGAAGGCTGAAATACTCGGTCCTTGCTCTCTGCAACTACAGGAAATAAAGAAAGAACGTTGTGACTTTTACACTGCTATTTGGTTTATTGATTGCCCCTTAGGTACAGTGGGTATTAATGAATTTGGCTGTTTCATTTTTTTAATGAGTCCAAGTTTTTTTTTTTTTTTTTTTTTTTTAATGAGTCCAAGTTTTAAAACAATGGCATACACTTTTCCAAGACCAGATGATGAAGGAGCCTACTCACCATTCCAGAGAGAGCTGAGGAGGAGCTCCAGCCACAGTGCTTCCAGAACGCTCTGCAAAGCCATGGCCAAAACGCAGCTGGTCTCAGGCCTCAGCCACAAGTGTGATGCTCGCCAGGAAGCTGATGTAAGGCTGCCTGTTTTGCATTTTCTTCTGTGTCATGACATCATCAGCCAGAATCTGTGAACTGAAGAAGAGTGACTACAGTTCTGAGGCTACATAATAATGACTTTGTTTTGAGAAGGTAGTCTTAAAAAGGAATGTATCCTTTCAGAGGTCACCACAGCTGTGCATTTAAGAATGAATTAATCATTTAAGAGCTCTCTTCCTTCATTAGTGGTGTCAGAAGGAGTCTCACAATGGTTGGGAGACTGCTTCATCATTCAAACTAAAGTGATAGATTCACACAAAAGGTATGCTGAACTTATCACATGTGCTATAATGATATAACATGTTAAAAATAATGATCATGAAATCATAGTAATTGTGGTGGATGAGCAATAGGTTTTTTTAAGGCACAAAAATTACGATGTAAATTATGATATTCATCAAAATTTGACTCCTTTCATCCAAGGTGATCTCTGGAATAAGTATAGAAAGAAAATCTCCCTTGAATTTTTCTGTAACCAAAAGAAACTGGGTCAAGGAAGACCCAAAATTGCATTTGGAGATGATCTCTTTTGGATGGTACCTATCCTCATCTTATAGCCTGAGACTGTCCCCTGTGTTATTATTGAGGGCTTCATACTTCTACCTGAGGCTTTTATACAGATTTTCTTGGGATTTTGTTTGAAAAAGAAGAGTAAACAAGGTTTATGGCAATTCATGGTGTATACAGTAGAGTTTTTATGTGCACCACCACCACCTAGTGGGCAACATGGGACCTGATGGGAAATCATATCCCCAAGCAGCCTCTGAGACAGTCTTCATAGCTTCTCACATCCTGAAGAGAGTTTTTGCCATTTGCTTTTGTTCAAATTCCTCTTCCTTATTCAGTTTCCCTAGGGATATGAAGTCTATGCAGAGGAAATAACCACCTTCCTGGAAAGCCTTCTGATTAACAAAATGTGTTCTTCATTCAGATGAGTGATTTATTTAAAACGCACTTCCATAGAGTGAAATATTTCTTTTCCTCATCCTAAGATGGTTGTTTTATTGATTTCCTTTTCTGTCTTCTTAAAATAGTATCCCAGGTCAGGAGAAATTCGTTTCTTCCCTAATACTTAGCACATAGTAAGTAATCGCTAAATAGTAGTTCATTTAATCACATATAAACACATCCTAAAGATTTAGATGTTGAAGTACCGCTTTCCCATTAAATGCCTTTAGTGATGACTGTGAAGCCTGTAACCTCGATTCCCAAAGAATTAACTTTTTCTAACTAGGGACTAGGGAAAGCTGATGTCATCGCTTAAAAGTTCCCATAAGGCCTATATAAGTCAGGTAGAGCAACACTAACACTGCAGCTGCCCTTCCCAGCTGCTTTCTTTCTCTACAGATTTCCCTTCAGTACTTGAAGGTGGGATAATCCATCTGAAACTGGCAAGACAAAATTTACACCTAGAGAGTGTGCTGCAAAGGAAACAGGATGCTTCAGTTACACTGGTTCTGAATAATTAGGTCAGGTTTTGCGTTAGACGTGTCCTGGTAAACTAGCATGCCTGCAAACGTGATCGGTAGTGGCTTTTAATCCCTTCTAACCATCAGTACAGCCTGACAAAGTGCAAAAAAGATATCATTCCTACACCACATCTTCAGTTTGCTGAGAACCAATTCTAGAAAATCTTAGTGCAGATCTATATGCTCTACATATTGAACAACATGATAATAACATATGTACAAAGGTGTGATTTTGCAGAAATGCTGAAGTACCTCTGGTAAAATACCACCAAATATATCTGCTGTGAATTATTACCAAAAACTGTGAATAAGACCCAAGGGAACTTCGAGGGCTCTTAACTTCCTTATGAAAAAATCAAGGTAAATGGGGTTATTTGATTTGTCGAACTTAAAAATAAATTATTTCTTTTTTTTTTAATGGTGGTTTATTTACTTTCTCTTATTTATTTATGTATTTATTTTATTTACTTTCTCTTGGTGGTTAAAGCTGGGCAGCAGCTGTTACAAGGTTGCATTGTAAATTCTTTTCTTTGAAGGAGAGGGAAAACAGAGAGAGCGCGCACAAGCCTGTCTGTCTTCATTCTCTTCTTGTTACTCCCAAACCCTTTAAGGGCTCCTTTTCCTATGGAGTTCATGCAAAACTAAAGGGAAACATAAAATCCCTTGGTTCTTCCCAATAAGCAAAATAAGACGAGGAAATCACTTTCACTCGATGATACTTTTAAAAGCTACTGTGGATAAAAGCAAAGTTCCAAAGAGGTCCCTGTTTCCAGGTTAGTCAATGTCTCTGACCTTTCTTCTTCCATCTTAGGTTTTCTGGATGCAGAGTTCAAAGGCGTCCCTGGGCCTCACCCCGGACGCGGCTCCAGTTACCGCTGCCATCGCCGCCTCTCCGCAGCGCAGTCCGGCCTCTGAGAGGCAGCGCGCGGCCTCCGCACGCTCCACGCCCGCCCCGCTCCGCGCGCTCCCGCCCAGCGACGCTCATCTTCGAGCCGGTTCGCGGCCGTCGCCCTCAGGGCCGGGTCTCGAGCTCTCCCAGCGTTCTCATTGGCTCCCTGTCCCGGGCGCGCGCGACGCCTCGCGAGTGGCACGTTTCTCTCGTTTGTGCGGCTCGGACCGCCGAGCTCGCCCCTGCTCGGTCTCGGGAAATTGTTCTTCTTTCCAGAAAATAATACTCATGTTATTGAAACTACGAGACTGATAATTCAGGTCTCTTCGGAGGTGCTGAGAGCGTCAGAAACAACCCAGGGTGAGTTTTATAGACGTTTTAGATTTACTGTTTCTGCTCTTAACTGTTTTCTTCTGTTTTTCTGAAATGTATGCAGTAGACACTAGATTTTTTGATGTGTGAACCATATTTTTGACATAAACTAACACCAGATTTCTACTGCAGTTGAACACATGTGCATTTTTCTGAACATTTTTTCCTGAGGCTCCACAGAAATAGAAAAAAATATATTGTGATGGAAAAAGCTTAGTTAAAAATGTATATCCAGGGGTTCCCTGGTGGCAGTCTCTTGTCTCTGTGGCCAGGGCCTAGGCTCTGCTCAGACCTCATCATCTCCTTCCAGTTCCCTGCTGGAGTGCTTTTGCCTTTGGAGTGCCAGGAGGGAGATAGACGTTTTAGATTTACTGTTTCTGCTCTTAACTGTTTTCTTCTGTTTTTCTGAAATGTATGCAGTAGACACTAGATTTTTTGATGTGTGAACCATATTTTTGACATAAACTAACACCAGATTTCTACTGCAGTTGAACACATGTGCATTTTTCTGAACATTTTTTCCTGAGGCTCCACAGAAATAGAAAAAAATATATTGTGATGGAAAAAGCTTAGTTAAAAATGTATATCCAGGGGTTCCCTGGTGGCGCAGTGGTTGAGGGTCCGCCTGCCGATGCAGGGGACATGGGTTCGTGCCCCGGTCCGAGAAGATCCCACATGCCGCGGAACCTGCGCGTCCGGATCCTGTGCTCCGCAACGGGAGAGGCCACAACAGTGAGAGGCCTGCTTACCGAAAAAAAAAAAAATGTATATCCATATCCTCTGATGAGGGAACAGTCATCGTTTCAGACCTAGTGCTCAATCTGCACACGCTTTTCTATCTGTGCAGGTGAAATTTTTCATATTGATTTTAAAATAAACCCTGGCTCCATTTTTGGTTAGTTCTTCAGCTTTCACTTTTGCAATCATCCTTTTAGAGCTTAATAAATTACAAAGGTAACAGATGTAAATCATCAAACATTTAAAGTAGTTTTCTGGAGCAAAAACTTTAAGTGAACACCCTAAGAAGAATTTCTAAATAGTAAAATCAATCCATAGCTACATTATGATATTACTATAAATATTAGTTTAATCCAAGCACTAGATACCATGAGTTTAACTTAAATGATAACTAAAAGACTTCTCTCCCTCCCAAAATACCTTCTTTGCCATAGATCTGCTTTGCTAGTTCTCTGATTTGACACTGCCATTAGACGTCTCTCTGCTATAAACAACAAAAAAGCCATTGTCTGCAGAACAGCATAATCAGACATAGAAAATACTTGAGAAGAAAGGGTGATGGAGCAGAAGAGAAAAGTTTTCTCTATCCTTTTTTCATAACCAGTGTGGAGTTGATTCATTTGTCTGGCAGAAAGCCTGATCTTGAAGGACAAAATGAAGAACCTGTAGTCATCAGTGATGGGAAGAAGGTAACGTAGGATGATAGTGCCCAAGAAACCAAGAGGACAGCTTGCTTGGGTGGAAGGCTGTACGTCGAGGCAGTGGCACGTAAGAGGCAAGCTAGAGAAGAGAGGCTCCCCACAGATGCCCACTCAAGCCAACCCAGGACACCTAGGAGAGGAAGAGAGAGGTCACTGAGACACATTTTACTTAATACTTCGGTTATGCCAGTCACCACAAAAATTCAGGTCAGAGAGGTGGTAGAGAAAGACTGGACCAAAAGTCAAGAGGCCCAAGCTCTAGACCCAGCTATTACTCCAGTTCTCCAGTTCTCTATGAACTTGAGCCAGTTGCTTTACTTCTCTGTGCCTTGTTTTCTCTATTTATTAAAAAATAAAAAATAGATTAGGTCAACTCCCCTTAAGAGCTAAGGTCTTGGGACTCTATATAATATATACGTTTCTTATAAAAATTAGTGATACTTGGGTCAAAGGTAAGCTAATTTTTAAAAAAGCAACTACTTTTGTTTTACTGTGGTCCAGTAAGTCAGACAACAGAATTGGACTTTAGAAAGAACTGAGGATAATCTAGTCAAGACAGTGACGCTGTTAGGCCTGGACCTTGACCTCCAGTTTAAGAATGAGCAAGTCTGTCCTCAACTCAAAGGTGGAAGAGAAGCAAGTCTCCCTTTACCCGCTACAGATTTTCTAAGTTTTCCTGGGTTTTATCCAGCCTCCTCTGAAGAATTGTTCAAAACACACTACAGCCAGGCTTCTCTGGTGGTGCAG